CGCAAGCATCATTATGATTATTGACCACTTGGTATAATTTAACTTGGGAATTAAACAAATATTAAGTGATCTATCCATTATAGAGTGAGGCGAGTGCATGCATTCCCTCCCCCCTTCCCCTGAAAATCTAGAAAAATAAATACTGGCTATTTTCTGGCAACTGGTTCTCTCTATATTACTAATACAGTATACTCATTATTCATGACAACATGGTCAATAAAACCAGCAGAATCCAATAATTATGTTTCTAAAACATTTTCGAATGTGAGCACTACCTTGGAAAATCCTGGATACACCCCTGAATATTTACTGGTTCATAATGCAAAATGCAGTTTTGGAAAAGTTACTAAGCTCTATATCAATGACAAAGATGAGAAATCAGTGAAGAAAAAAAAAGAATAAGGGAGAGAGAGAGAGAAAGACCTATGCACCTAAATCTTCAGAAAAACAACAATAGATACTAAAGACTATTACACAAAAGTCCCGGAAACAAATAGTGTTTTCTGTGAAGGAAACCACCTAGATTCTTTCACATACCATAAATATACAAGCAGAATGTTCAATTAAAAGCATTTTCTGATTTAATGAGACACCATGCTCTTACACCAGAGTTTGAAAAGAAACTAAAACTTACCTCTAAGACACTCTTGTTATACTGAAAGCCATATGCCCAGAACATGATGAGAAAAATAAAAACTCGGCAGAATGCAAAAGTGAAAATCATGAAAAGGCCATTAACCACATAAATCCTGGAACTTTTGTAGCCTAACTGAAAAGAATAAACAAACTTGAAGATTACAGAGAGGCTGGAATGAAAGGGGTTCATAAACATTATATCTAAATAAGATATTTTATGAAACACCAAGAAATTAGAAAAAATAGATAAATCAGTGTTCAATTTAATGCTTATCTATTCAGTCATTTAACCATTTAAAAATTATTTTTTTAAAGGGTTGGGCTCATTTTTAAATTCATGCAAGGCTATATGAGGGCTATCTGTGTTAGCTATACAAGCTAATAAATATGGTTTATTTTCTGAATGTGACAATGTGTATTTAATCATCTTGTGATCGATACTACCAAAGCATTTTCTAATTTCCAGTAATGAAGTTAATGAAAAACACTTACCGTACTTAATATGGATCGTAGATTTGTAAATGGGGTACTAAGTTCCACAAGGTAAAAACATCCAAGGAAAAAGTCCCCAAGACCTCGCCTCAAGGACTGAAATTAATAACTACATGTATCCCAGCATGCAAATAACAACTACAGAAACACAATGGTAATAATCTTTAACCACATGTGCAAACACTGCCAATACGTACAAATCATTATGATCTTTAACCACATGTACAAACACTGCCAACACATACAAATCATTATAATCTTTAACCACATGTGCAAACACTGCCAATACGTACAAATCATTATGATCTTTAACTAACCACATGTACAAACACTACCAACACATACAAATCATTATCTTTAACCACATGTGCAAACACTACCAATACGTACAAGTTATTATGATCTTTAACCACATGTACAAACACTACCAATACATACAAATCATTATGATCTTTAACCACATGTGCAAACACTACCAATACATACAAATCATTATGATCTTTAACCACATGTGCAAACACTACCAATACATACAAATTATTATGATCTTTAACCACATGTGCAAACACTACCAATACGTACAAATCATTATGATCTTTAACTAACCACATGTGCAAACACTGTTAATACATATAAATAATTGTAATAGAGAAAGGATAATGAATGCTTTTCTTTAAATAAAAAACATGTACAAAATACACATATAAATTAGTTTAGCTGCTTACTTTTTGTTTATGAAAGCAGGTACATGCAATCCATTACAAAAACACAGTTACTAAAACTGCTGAATGTTACTACATATCTGCCGAGAAGATAAATATTTTAAACTAAATACTTACTATGGTAACGGGGAAAAGAACTAAAGGCAATATTATGTGATGTATCATCATCATCTGATTTTTCCTGAAAAAGGAAATCACTCTCTCTCTATGTGATTTGCTCACTTGGTCCTGTTTATGTTTGTAGCTATGTACGAGATACATGCATGCAGTGTCGTACAAAAGGTAGGCTACGATAACCCAGGCATATCGGTTACAGAGCCAGTTCCTAAGGAAATTACACAGAGTTGTTTCAAAATGCATAGAGGAATAAAACACATGAAACTTTCAGGTCGCTTAACAACAAGTATAGGTATAACTGGCTGTCAAGGTAACTTAACGAGAGGTGCAGGTATAACTGGCTGTCAAGGTCGCTTAATGACAGGTACAGGTATAACTGGCTGTCAAGGTCACTTAATGACAGGTACAGGTATAACTGGCTGTCAAGGTCACTTAACGACAGGTACAGGTATAACTGGCTGTCGAGGTCACTTAACGACAGGTACAGGTGTAACTGGCTGTCGAGGTCGCTTAACGACAGGTACAGGTGTAACTGGCTGTCGAGGTCGCTTAATGACAGGTACAGGTGTAACTGGCTGTCGAGGTCGCTTAATGACAGGTACAGGTATAACTGGCTGTCAAGGTTGCTTAACGACAGGTACAGGTATAACTGGCTGTCAAGGTTACTTAACGACAGGTAGAGGTGTAACTGGCTGTCGAGGTTGCTTAACGACAGGTACAGGTGTAACTGGCTGTCAAGGTTGCTTAACAACAAGTAACAGCTAAGTGTGATTTTTACAACACTTAATCTACATACGAGCCAAGTCACAAAGAAACATTTAACTTTAAACACAGTACTAATCAGACCTCCTAATAAAGCAAAAAAGGCACAGAAATACAAGGAACAGAATAGAATATTGATCAGACATAAGAAAGAGCCAAAAACAAAATAGATAGTATTTAGAAAATAGTAAACTAATATTTTGTCAGTACTTCTTATTAATTATTTTAAAAAATAATCTAAACACTCTCTTATCATTTGCTAATTCGAGGATTTAAATCCAATTCATACATCATAATTTGTACAAAACCCTCAAACCATTTTATCTTCATTAGTTTTCTACGACTTTCAAACGAAGCAATAGCGGCACAAATCTTGTGGTAATACAAATATTACTAAACATCTCGTTTAACTCTGTAATGTTGCTATCTATAAATGTAACATTTTTCCTTGCTTATGAAACATACCTTTCATGCATAACATCGTTGTAGCAAGAAGAAACAATAAGAATCCCTACAGACGAAGCTACCAAGCTCTGAATCAGTGACACTAGACTAGAAAAGTCAAATTCTTTTAGTTTTTAAAAAGAAAATCCACAAAGAAAATAAATACAAATTACAAAAAAAAAAAAAAAATTCAAAAATAAAAATTAAAGTTGCATGTTTTGTATGAGTAAATAAAAACTAAATTAACTAAAAATTCAGAACATAAACTCTTAAAATAAAAACATTAACAGAGTATAATTTAACAATATCTCTTTACAGCCTTTATCTTCCAAACTGTGTAATATAAAATCAGAGGTTCTCAAACTTTCTCTGCACAAGGTGATTGTGGTCAGCGAGGAGTAGGTCAGTCTAACTTTACCAGATTTAAACAAGAGGTGTCAGTAAAGTCACCACTGGGACAACTGGCTCATGATGGCCAAGTATTTCTAGTGACACCATTTTTGAAGAGATTTTAAAACATTAGCTGTAACTTGTTTCAGAGATACAAACAAGACTTAACTGTGGGGATAAAGTAAGCCACAAGAACTAAATACTAAGTTTAATAATGTAAGGACAAACATGATTGGTTGGACTTATGGGATCAGTAGAGAAAGGGAGGGAGCATTTTTTTGGGATGGATGGTTTACACTTAAGTAAGGTAGGGATCGGCTTACTTGCAAGGGCTATTAACTAAGCTTATAAGGGCAGCTTTATAGTTTAGGAACAAAGTACAGAATGTTAGGCTAAACTGTTACTATCGTAATGCTAAAGTATAAATAATAAAAGAAATAACTTTAAGCCACTAGTTAGAATGTAGGATTTTGTTATATTGGAAATAACTGAAACATGGTTGGATACAGAGAATTATGATAACAGATAACATTTAATAGAAACTGAGTACTAAACCTATGTAATATGCAAGTTACATACTGTCGAAGTTGAGGATATCAAAAATAAAAGCAAGGAGATTGAATTTATTGGGTTTTCTATTAGCAGGTATAGGGGGAAAAGGGCTTTGTTACAGACAACCAGATGAAACTGATGAAATTAACGAGCAACTCTACAGTGAGGTTAAGATTTCAGCTATTAATGAGGTTATAATTATGAGATATTTTAATTTCAGGCACACAGACTGGGAAATTTTAAGAGTTAAGAATGAGTTTTAGAAACTTTTCAAGATGATTTTCTTCACCAACTGGTCAAGGAACTGACTAGATTTTAGATTTATTATCATTAACTACTAATAAATAAATAGTTGAGAGAATAGAGTCTGAGTGCAAGTGATCATTGTCGTTTTACTGTATAGGAGTATCAGGAATAATCAGATTTTTTGTTATAAATTTTTTAAAAAAGCAAATTTTGAAAGTATATGATAAGAATTACCAGGAAACTGAATTAATTAGAGAAATTTAAAGTTGGATTTTTAAATATTCACGATAGACAAGTTTCGTATAGAAAAAGATTTGCTACGAGTAAAAACCGTGGTTGGCTCACGAAGGTTATAATGGATAGAATTTTTAAAAAAGGTTTAAATTTAAAATGCTATGAGATTTAGAGGATTATAAAAGATTACGAGAGCTGGTGAAACGGAAAAATGAAAAGGGTATATAATAAACGGTTTACTTAACAGCAAGGATTTGTTAGCTGTATTCATGGTAAGTAAACTGTCAGGAGGGAGTAGGCCCTTTGAAGGATGGTAAATGAAAGCTAATTTCTGATGATTATAAGATGACTGAGTTATTAAATTCCAATTTATTTATTTTTATTTTTTACTAATGAAGATTTGTGTAATATTCCTTGTCATGAACAATAACTAGATGGAAACAAGATCGAAAAGTTAATCACACAATACTGCTAAGCTTGTTAAGAAAAAATTGGGTAGTTTAAATAACGATAAGTCTCCTGAGCCAGATAATGTTTCTCAAAGGGTTTTGAAGGAAGTTAACGATGGGATATGTGACCCTCTTGCTACTATTTTTTCTAAGTCCTTAAATAGTGGGCAGGTGCCAGAAGATTGGAAGTTGACTAATGTTACTCCATTAATTATAGGCTTATTAGTCTTACATCAATGGTGGGAAAGATTATGAATGTCTGATAAAAGATGTTTAACTACGGAAAAATCTTGTCTTATTAACCTCTTGATATTCTTCAAGAGGTTACTACTTATGTAGTTGAGGGTATGGACTTGATATACTTGGATTTTTAAAAAGCATGCCACATAAAAGGCTCGTGAAAACAAATGATATCTTTAGGTGTGGGAAATAAGTTAGTTAATTGGATAGAAAACTGATTAGATGGAAGAAAGCAGAGGGTTGTTATACATGGAGTTCAGTACAACTGAATTAATATCACCAGTGAACTCCTCAGGGCCTTCTCACTTTCTGAATTACATTCATGACACAAGTCATTCAGTCCTTTGAAGTGATCCATCTATCCTTGAAAATCAACCAACCAAAAGACACCGAAAAAATAACCAAACGTAAGTCTTGAGATATAATGTAGTTGAATAGGTATTTTATGAGAATTTAAACTTGTATTATAAACACAAACCATATCATCAGACAAATCATTCCTGAAGTTTAAAAACTGTAGTGAATCAAGTTTTAGGCTTTAAAAAGTTATGACCAAAAAAGTGCGTTTCCTTTTGAAATACTACACGTATTATCTTTTCTTCTATTCCTGCCATACATTGATACAACTACAAGATTACAATTATCAATAACATATCCATACATTAATCATTGTTTCACTTACCTGTTACAAATTTCTAAAAGTGCAAAATATGGCAGATTATAGTTTGTTTTGTCGACATTACCACCTTTGGTTACACCCGTAACTTTACGTAAAACATATTTAAGTCCTAAAAATAATGAAGTGAAAAAAGTGATCCCAATTGTAAAATATACAAATCCTCTTTGAACTGAAATATCTACGTCCATACCTTATTAATAACAGTAATACTGTCCTTTAATTATCAACATTGTTATGTGTTAAAGGTATTCACGTGACTATTTTTTGTATCTCAACACAAGTTCAAGGCAGCCGATTTGTAAGAAAAATTATTTTGTTTTCAGATCAAAGGCGCCAATAACTTGCATGTCTTCGCAACTTAAGAAAGAGGGTGGGTGACGCTCGATACGTACATACGTAAATATTAAAATTAAAAGAGATAAAACAACGATTTTGTTACATTGATTCCTCCTATTTAAAATATTGCTCACTATATCTAAAATTCTGAACTGAGGTAAACTCTGTGTTCTAATTACAGTCTTTATTGCTTCAAGAGTAAGTAAAATTTCAAATATATGATAATTGTGACAAAAATAGTCGTTTTTTTCCTTTTATTTTTGTACATAGTATACTGTAGCGTTTCCAGTGAGTATTATCATTATATTCGGTCAGATACTGCTAATACATTTTTGAAAATATAGTTGTTGCTTTAGTAATTATGTTTCTCTCTGTATGTAAGAGTTTTTATTAATAAACAAAAAAAAAAAACATTTTTGTTCTAACTAGTCGTTATACGTAGTGATCTCACTAAATTAGCAACTATTGCCTGAGTTTACACGATGTGGCATATTCTGCTTACTTTCTGACAAGTATCAGACAGACGAACCTGAAAATAACTAAAGTTTCGTTCAGGAAATAATGGGAGTTATTTTGATCAGTTAACTTAACTGAGTCTTCATAGTATATGTAAAATAATGAGACTGGACAAGATTGGTAAAAATGAAATCAAGCTATATTATAAAACTGATATAAAAAAAGAAAACGCAGCCTACTTACTTGTGTACACGAAAAGAGGGTCGCTTGTATTAGGCCGTGCTTTGTCCCACGGCTTTCTCTCTATCAGGGTAGAATTTCATCAAACTAAACAAGATGGTCTTAAAAGTAAGTTTTTACTCTATAATTTCCCAGTAGAACTGGCTAAAGAAAGTGTGCTTAAATGCAACAGGTAAACTCACATTCTTTGTCCAGTCGACACCATTACCACGTGACTTTTATTTCTTCATAGCATTGGTTGGCTGAAAATTCAGTCAATGTCATAATCGGCCAGTAAAAGATATTACAGTGCCAATCCATTGAACCTGGATGCTGTGCATTATTGCAATACTCTCTCAGGCAGAATAGACATCATCTACTATAGAGAACAAAGCAACTAGAACAAGGTAATATCGATAGCTTTCTGGACCACGTGTTGCAGCCGAAAAATGTTTAAAAAATTATATATCACTAAAGCAGGTACAAACATATATGTCCACATATCACACTTTTCCTTCCTTCTTTCTATCAGGCTTATTCTAAGCCAACGATTAAATTTAACTTTAAACCAATCACCTTTAAATTCGCAAGATGGTCAAGAAATTTACTCAATTTCTAAAACTACTTGCATATCACACAGATGATACAAACTCTTTAACAATGAACTGCACTGAACACAATATGAAACCCTTTAACAATAATTTACAATGCTTATCCTGAAACAATACTTAATGTTACTTTAAAATGAAATAAAAAATAAATGCATCAAAGCAAGATAATTTTGCTAAGCCTTTTATAAAAAAAATTCAAAAAGCTAATCACTTAAAATCAAAATTATTTAATTATGTTCAGAATTTATTAAACTTAAAATGAAATGACACATGAAATCAACCCTTTAACATCGAAAAACATATTATATCTCTTAACACTGAATTGCGTAAAGCAATGTGTAAGTACAAATGGTATAGTGATTTCAGTTGAAAAATTTATTATTATTATTATATTACATTTGTTTTGTGTTTTTAACTGTGAAAAAGTATGCAAAGTATTGTTGCAGAAATTTTAAAGTAAAATAATTTTATTACATGTTCATGAGCTGGATATATATACATTGATAAGTCTCTGGTCTATCTGCAATCCTCTCTCCGCTTTATTTGCCAGGCTTATATACAAAAATAGAGGGAGCCTGGAAAAGACCAGAGCTGACAGGAAAAGTCACGATCCTTCGAGAATCTCATGACGTGTTACCAGCGTCACGTGACTTCTGCTGTCGTAACACTGCCCCTTCCTTAGTATTGTTCGTCCCGAAAAATATCCACTTACATTAAACCAATAAACAATTAACAATAACTTAATCAAGTGTACAGAATTTACAAACACAAAATTAAAGTACAACAAAGTCTCTTAATTTTACGGGACGTATCTTCTCCTGTACTGGTCTCCATCT